TTTTAACCCAGCCTTAGACCTGCAAAGCTCACTGCATTCTGATCACTCTTACCTTCTTTCAGTTCTTCAAATTTGCTCAGTTCTCCACCGTCTCTGTGTGGGGCATCCTCCCTGTGTCTTTTCTGAAAAGTGCCTCTTAGTTTACAGAGCTCTTCTTAAACATTTCTTCAAAGAGGCCTTTCATTGCCACCCTTCTCCACCTACATTGGGTTGCTTTACTCACATAGATCACAATTTATAGTTGTGTATTTTTGTGATTATTTTATGTATATTCTTCACATGAGCTTCCATTTGGATGACAAGTCCTTGGGGTTTGTTGCTGAGCACTTACATACTTGATGCCCAGCATGGTGCCAGGTACACAGTAGGTGATCAATATTTGTTAAAAGAATAACTATACTTCAATCTTCACTTTATAATTGAATAATTGCACAATACCTAATAGTTATCTATTAATTAATGACTTTAATAAACTTGTTTCAGATAACTGAACTTCTATAGTTCGAAGAAAAAATGTTTGAAGTCCCTGCATCAGCAATACCAGAAATCTGAGCTCTCTAATAATAACATTATGCTTGTACACAGTGAGCCTAATTTTACTGTTGCAAGAAAAAAATATATAGATTACAGGTTTTGAAATCAATTTAGTAGGTTGTGAGCAGCACTGCTTTTAAAAACAGAACAGAATGGAAAATGTCTGAATGCATTGCAAGTGAGAGGGTAAGAATTATTTTATATAACTTTTGTTTCCATTTTATATAGATAAAACTATAGATGGAGAGTTGAAGTGTGTAATGTAAGCTATGTTTCTTATTCAGTTGCAGTTAAAAATGAAAAACACTGAGTTCTATGTCTTGCTTTGGGGCTTATGCAAACATTGTAAATCCCCAGGTCTCCTGTGTAAATTTCTTGTTCCATGTGCTACATGCTCACCTGTCTGATACTGCCAATAACTACACAGATGGAAGATCTGGAATACAGGAAGTTCCCAAAGTTATTGTTTTAAATAAACGTTTTATTTGGGGCTAGTGTTACATTTAGAGAAAACTGCAAAGATAGGATAGGTGTTCGTATATCTCCCTCACAGTTTCTTTTGTTACATTATTATTATTATTATTTTTTTTTTTTGTCTTTTTCCTTTTTATCGGTACCAGGGATCGAACTCACGACTGCCTGCTTGCAAGGCAGGCACTTATGCCGCTGAGCTAAATCCCCAGCCCCTACATTATTTCTTTTGTCACATTATTGTGGAATTTGTTATAACTAAGGACCCAACACTAATACTTTCAACCAAATTCCAGCCTTTATCTGGATTTCTTCAGTTTTCCTTCTTACTGTTCCCAGGTTCAGCACAGGATGCCACATTGCAGTTGGTCGTCGAGTTCCTGAGTCTCCTCTGGGCTGTGGCAATTTCTTCGGTTTTGGTTTTGATGCTCTTGACAGTTCTGAGGAGTACTGGTCAGGGATTTTATAGCATGTCTCTCAATTTCAGTTAACCTGAGATATCTCTCATAATTAGGCTGATGGGTTTTGGGAGAAATCCATCCCGGAGATGAAGCGCTCTTGGAATCCTGTCCCACTAGAAGAGGTACAGGATGTCAGCATGAATCACTGGGATCCCAACCCTGATCTCCTGGTTAAGGTAGCATCTGCTAAGTTGTTTTTACATTTTTCTTTTTGCCATGTTTTTTTTTTTTTTTTTTTTTTTCTACAACAGTAACATTTTCTCTTTTCATACTCTGTTCTTTGGAATCAAATCACTGAGATGCTAAGGCCAGTTTGTCTTTAGGGATAAGGGGAGGGGAAATACTTCTTCCTAAAAGGAACTGTCTCTTTTCCACTTATTTAGCTGATAATTTGTATAGCTATGAACTCATGTATATTTATTTTATTTTTTTCCTCCAACTGCTCCAGCTTTGGGACCTCTTTCAGCTGGCTCCTGTGTCCCTGTACTTCTTTGTTTTTTAAGAAGCAGTTTACTTTTAACTGCAAGATGTCCCAGGCTCATCCTATACCTTCCCTGCCTCAGACCTAGGATCAGCTTTTCTCTGGGGCTGGCTTTTGAGAGGCAGAAGCCAGAGATGTAGACGTCATCCTGCTCTCACCGAGGGAGCACACTGTTTCTCTGCCCAGAATCCTTTGGAGAATTAGTGGAGGTTAAAAAAGGACGCGTGAGGCTGCTCTATTGTTTTATTTTCCTGGCTTGAATGTAACACTCTGGTGAGCTACCCAAGGTTATGTGATCTGCCCCAGTTAGGTCAGAACGTTCCTCAGACCACCTGTCTGTGCCTGCTGCCCAGATTCTGGAAGCCTCTGTATCCCCTACAGAACGGGAAGCACTCCGAGTCCTTGAGGTTTAGCTGGTCAAGGACTAGTGTCCCAGACTTCTAGGGAACTGCTGTCCTGCTCATTCCCCACCATGGATCTGTCCAAACATCAGTTTTTGTTTTCCTACAATGTTATTCCAGTTGTGGCTTCTGCCCTATCTCTCTCACACATGTTCAGTAGATGTCCTTACTTCCTTGGGAAAAAGCAGCCCACTTGAGAAGCACCCCTTGTCTTCTCCCCCATGACAGCGCCTCTACCTTCTTGAAGGCTAACTTTCCTACCTGAGCCTGGATCCAGCCTCTCCTTTTTCCAAGACCACCCCTCCTCATACCTTGTGTCGTGCTCCATCACCAGCTCCTCTTGCTAAAAGGATACTCAAGCCTCTTGGCTTTGCTTTAAATCTCTAGCCAACAAAAGTAGAATCATCTCCCCTGACAGCTGGGACCATGGAGACTAGAGATAGGAGATTTTCCAGAGAAAAAGGGTGGCTTCATGGAGTGGCCCTGATGACAAATTAAGCGGTTCCTCTCTCGGGAAGATTCCGAGATGATGCAATAGTGCCAAGACTGTTACAGTGGATGAGGCTGAGTGCAGGCCACAGCCACCTGGGAGGGCTCCTGAGCGGCAACCTGAGTCGGAGCTGGGATTGAGGGAGAGGACTGGAGGTCACTCCCTCCAGCGGTGGCAGCCAGAAGTAGAGGAAAGGAGGGGCATCCACCCCTTTCTTCACTCCAGAGGGACAGCCAGTTCACCTCAGGGAATTCACACCTGCAAGATTGGCCCACTTCCTGCTGACTGTGTAGAAGCCAGAGTGATTCACGGCCCCACCTATTTAAGCCTCCTCCAGTCTGGTCTAGGTAATGTGGGTGTGCCTTAATGACCCTGAGCAAAAAGACCCTGAGTCAGGGCTTGGAGCACCTCTGGGCCCCTCCAGACACAGCCTTGTCCCATCTGAGCTGGCTCCTGCTCTTTATCCCCTCTCTGCTGACTTCTCTCCTTGGCTCCGCCAGGATTACCTTCTTCTCAAGAGCCTTGACTCTACAGAATTCAACTCACAGATAAGCTCCCTGTATGGACACACTCATTATGGTTCTAAGAGGACACTTGTGTTTACTGACCCTGGCCAATTAGGTCCAGCTATGGCTGGCCTATTTGCTTTTTCATTCACTGAACAAAGAGCTGTGGAGGACTTTCAGGTACAATTCTAGGTAGCGGGAATACAACGATGAGCAAAAGACATGGCTTTGTCAGAGTTTGCAGGTTTGTCTCAAAGACATTATGCCAATAATTTCACAAACTGATAACAACAACAACAAAATACAGGAGCTCAGTCTCATCTGGGCATTAGGCAAAGCTCCTAAAAGAAGTGAGTTTACTTTGATCTGCAGAATGAGAAGGAATTGGCTTGAGATTTGGGGTGACAAAGAGAGTAGAGGGGGAAATCTTCCCAGGTGAGAGAATAACATGGAAAGAGCTGAAAGAATGGTTGGAAGCCCCAGAAGGGTGGGAGGAGAGAAGGCCAGAGAGGGTGGTACAAGCCGAGTTGGGCAGGCCCTGTAGTATGCTCAGCATCCTGGTCTCCATCCCAAGGGCAGGGGGAAGAAGGCCACTGAAGAGTGACAGGACCAGACTTGTACTGGAGAAGTTACTAGCCACAGAGAGAAGCACAGATTAGAAGGGGCTGGGGCTCCTGTGAGGAGACTTTGGAGGTTAGCAGCTGACAACTGAGGTCATCCCTGGGATGAAGGATGAGGGATGAGGGACGAGGCATGAGGGATGAGGGTGGAGTAGAGGCTCCATCTGCATCCCTAGACTTTTTTGCTGTCTTGAGATTCCGGGCTCATGTGGGCACTGAATCCTCATAGATGATTCACTGGGAGGTCTGGAGGGAGACGATGAAGGTTAGGTTAGTCCTGGTGCCAGGCTGGCTCTTGTCTGTATGTGCAAAGGACACCAAGAAATCGCTTCTCTGATTTCTGCTTTTGCCATCCGAGGTTTCCTGGCTCTGAGAATAGAGCGAAGCAGTGACCTTCCATGTGTGGTCCCACCCCACTTTTCCCAGAGAGAAGCCCAAGCACCTGCCTTCAGGGTCATTATTCTCCCCCCAGGCCGGCTTACAAAATTTGGGGAGTGGGGTTGCCCCAGGCCCTCTCAGCCAGGGGGCTGTGAGCAGGAAGCCAAAGCTGGGCTGCAAAGAAGGGTATGGCCGCGTCCTCTCGAGTTCTGGAGGCCCGAGCTATAATCTGGGTGCGTGACCTTGGACAAATCCCTTCCCTCCCTGGTCTGGGTTCCCGCCTCCATAAATTGAAGGCAGCCGCCAAGTGTCCACAGCTGCCAGTGGTACTACGGGTGCAGCCGGCGGGATGCTCTGGGCGACCTCGCGCCAAGGCCGGGTTTGGGGTCGGCCAGGAGAAGGGGGCGCAGGGGAAGCACAGCAGCGGCTGCGCGGCAGGGCGGGGACGCCGTCCACGCCGCGCGCCCCCCGCCTCTCCGCCAGCCAAGGCCCGGGGGCCACGAGGTTATGTGAGGGGGGCGGGGAGCGGCGGGGGAGGGGCGGGGGAGGGGCGCGCGGGGCACGGGGCGCCGGCGGCGGGCGGGGGAGGGGAGCGCGGCGTGGGGGCGGGGCGGACCCCGCCCAGCCCGCCGGCCCAGCCCCCTCCTCCCGTCCTCCCGCCCGCCGGCCCGCGGGAGGCAGCGGCGGCGCCGGGGCTGAGCCGGGCGCTCTCGGCCGCCGCATGCACCGCGCGGGGAGCGGCTGCCGAGCGGGCGGGCGGAGAGCGAGCGCCAGGGCCCCGTGGGAGCGGCCGCCGGAGCAGCCCGGAGATGGGGTGAGTGTCCCCGCGCCCCGGCTCGGAGCCGGGCGGGCCCCGCCGGCCTGGGGAGCCGGGCCGCCCGGCCCCGCGCCCGCGCCCCGCAGGGCGCCCTCCCCTCGCGGTCGGCCGGGGCGCGGGGAGCGGGGAAGCGGGGAGCGAGCCCGCTGGCCGCCGCCGCTCCGCGGTGCCCGCGCCCGGCCCGCCCGGCCAACTCCGGGCCTGCGTCTGTGAGCGTGCAGAGCAGTTGTGGTTCCCAGCGACCGGATTGATTGCAGGCAGGATGGAAATCGAAGTTTTCCTGGAAAGGGAACATGCCAGAGCACGGTGCCCCTCCGGCGCAGGCACGGCGGCCGAGGTCCGTGGGCACCTCCGAGGCACCGGTCTCAGATGGCCCGGAGGATGCTCGGGAGGGGAAGTTGAAATACTGACTAATGTCTCTGATACCCTAAAGTAATTTACAGACCAGGGTGATGATCCGAGAGGTAGGCGCTGTGAGTCAAGGAGCCGCTGTGCTCATAGACTGTAACTCCACGCATCTGCTCCGGGGTGCGAGCAGCAGTGTGGGGGGCCTGCCGTGTTTTCGCGGTATGCTTATTGCGCCCATTTGACAGATGACGACACTGAAGCACAGAGAGGTTTGGTGACGACGTCCAGATTGCATGGCTAGCTGATGAGCATTTGGAGAAGGGGGACATTTAGTGCGCGGTCGAGGGCAGAATGGAATGAATGGATGGGTGAGTGAACTGAGGTCTTGAATCTCTCTGGCCTCTGGTGCTGATTTCTTCAGCCAGTCAGCAGGACCCAGAGACATTTGCTTGCTGATTGCAGAGCTCTCACTATCCTCTCGGGGACAGGTGGTACAAGGCAGACTAGGGTGTTGTGGAAAGGGGCACGATTGACCTGGTGGGGACAGCTTCTCTATGCTTTACCTGGGCTAAGTTTCTAGAGTCATTTTATCCAGGGAGCCTTATCCAAGGGGACTGAAGAGGCCAGGGAAGTCATGAACTGGTGGCAGGGACAGAAAGAGGTGAGGAAGTTTGCTAGTCCTTGGTGTCCTCCCTGAGACTTCACACCTGCCAGCAACCGTGGGTTGATTCTCCCAGAGGCTCCCAGCTTCCAGGCAGCTTTTCTGTAACATTTCAGGCAGACCCCAGTGAACTATGAAAGAGTTGATCTTTGAGCAGCTGGAACCTTTGAGGTTCTCGGGTTTCATACTTTAAAAAAAATGTTCTGGAAGGAGGAGTTAGCAAATGCAGGTCTCACGTGGAAGATAAAAAGGATTTGGCAATTTTAACTCCCTGTCCTGCACCCCAGCACACTTGTGTGATCAAAAGCAAATATTGAAACTATGATTGAGATCAAATAGTTTTGTGGAAATGAAAATGTTTACTCATAAAGCTTAATGAAAATAATTATGTGAAAGCAAAGAGGAGGAGGAGTTGGGGGATTTAAACACCGAACTTGTCTTTCATGTCATTCTGATATCACCAGATAAATATGTATATTGCTTGTGAGTAAGGGCTGGTTTGTAAGTCCTACCTACCTCTGCCATAACATACCTATTTCTACAATTTATGTAAATGTACAAACAGGGTTGTAAATTGAGATGAGCTAAGGGCTGGATAAGCAGTTTAGACAGTAGTGGAGGGAGCCATTTTAACCAAAAATAGAACCAGTGTCAGCCTTTCTGAAAGTTGTGTGGGATGGAGGGGAACCAGGAAAGGGCAGCCAACAGCAAACCTTGCTGTGGTCCGGCGGCTTTGGCACAGCCCTGCTCTGTAGACCCAGCAGGATCTAGGGATAAAACCAAACCATCTGAGCTTGCTTCTCCCTCCTTGGGATACTCACTCCCCCGTCTCTCTGATGAAGGGTGTGTCACGTGTCTGGTCCCCACTGTGTGCTGTCGCTCCCCACGCTGGGTTTTGCAGGCTCCCTCCCCTTTTCAGAGCTCTGTCCACACTATCCCTTGCCTCTTTCCATTGACAGGACAGCAAGGGACATCTTCATCGTCCGTGGTGTAACTGTCATTACCGTCCTCTTCCTGCTTGTGTGCCAAAGGGCTAGTCCTTGCCTTCTTAAAGGGTATCTTCCCTTCCTAATTGCTTTCTTACCTCGGCCTTTTCCATCAGTCTAGGAGTATGCTGCAGTTCAGCATTGTCCAGCAGAACTTTCTGTGGTGTTGGAAATGTTCGAGATCTCTATAGTCCAGGATAGCAATCACAAGCCACATGAGGCTACCGTGTGCTTTGAAATGTGGCTACAGTGACTGAGGGCCTGAATTTTTAATTTCATTAAAGTTTAATAGCCCCGGGTGGCTAGTGGCTGCCATATTGGATAGTACAGTTTCAGCCTGTCCCTCCCTCCTCCATCCCTTCTCTTCCTCCTTTGACTTCTGCGTTCCCCTTCCTTTCAAGGCATGTCAACATGTGTGTCCAAGCCCATGCTGTCCACTTCCTGTTGCTGTTTGTCTGTCTCCACCATATACTGTTGTGCTGAAACTGCCAGGTCTCGTGCTCTTTGGTCTGACTCCACATGGGAGATTGCCTAGGGCCTGCACCTGGCTCCCCTTCTCTGTTCACACCCTCATCCTGGGTAATGTGACCCCATCCCCAAGCTAGCCCCCCTGAGACACTGCTTGTGTGCAGGTGACTCTCATGATTTGATCTCAGATCCGCCTTCCTCAGGGGCTCCTGCTCTGGTGTTCCTGGCACTTCTGCCTTCTCTGTCGCCTCATCCCAGCCAGTGGCCCCACCAAGCACTCATTGCTGAGTCATTCTTGATGCTTTTACCTGCTTCTGCCATCCGGGCTTTCCTTTGGTTCCCTGGGTTCTACTTCTGGGATGTCGTGGAGCGTGCTCACCAGCAACCCACTCTGCTCCTGGCCTTGGTCCTCCTTCCTGGGCACCCTCCCTTTCTCCTCTGGATTGCTCCCAGGCTGTTCCACACACAGGAGCCAGAGAGGGTGGCCTTCCCAATTGCAGATCAGATCATGCCGCTCTCCTCTTCAAATGACTGGCCCCTGCGCTGTCGCGGCTTTCCTGGCTGCCCTCCTGGCCCTTTCTGTCTTCTGCCCATTCCTGAGCTCCTTGCCTTTTCTTGCCTTACCTGGGGGCCCGTGAACTGCTGTTTTGTCTGCCTGGGAGACTCACCCTGCAAACACCTTTTCCTCCTTCTGCAGCTGTTGGCATCCAGGTCAGCACCCCGGCCTTCCAGCCGTGCCTCGAGGAAACTCTCCTTGCTATGGCTCTCGTGCAGCCCCACTTTTGTCCCCTCCAGTGTCTGCCCAGCACACCTGTAATCACTTGGGCTTTGTTTACTTGTTGATAATGTGGCCGCCTTCATATAACCTCACCAGGATAGGGCGTTATCTTTTCCACCATTTTGTCCTAATGCCTAATGCAGTATCTGGCTCCTACCAGGCCCTCAAGAAATATTTTTGATTGAGTTAGTACTGGAAGCTAGCCTGGGAGTTGTGATGATTTTTAGATTACCTTTTCTATAAATGTGCTTAATTGAGAGTTGTAAGGGCCAAGAGAGAAAGGGATCACATTTGAATGTGGTGTTCTTTTAATGCTAGCAAGCCATTTCACTCTTTATTGTGAAGTGGGTTCATTTTCACACTGCCTGCTGCCGCCCAAGTATTGGGGCTGTAAATTATCTTTTTATCTCCCTGTAAAAGGCCAGCAGAAAAGCCAGCTTGTCTGCTGTTGTGACTTTCAGCTGATTTTGTCAGTGTTTACAAACAGGATCTACTCTATTACTTACTGCTTGGCTTCATTTTACGTTTTTTTTCTGTTCAGCTAAGATTATCTTGCAATGTATGACTGCCACAATCCTGGTTATCTAACACCTTGGGCTGCCTTTCAGTGAGTAATCTATACTGATTAACTTTCTTTTGAAGATCCTTCCTTCTTTAGCTTTCTGTTCCTCCTGAATCACACCAAACGGTGGCTGTTCTTTAGGCTTCTCTCAGATATACTGAGGTGAGCTTGCTTTCATTTGGTCCTGTTGGCTTTTTAAGCTTTGCTAACTAAGACCCAGTAATCCCCAGTCTGTGAGGCAGCTGGTGTGCGGCTGAGAAGCAGGTGAAGAACGCTGGTTAGTTCCTGCCTCTGTGGCCTTTATACGTTGAAAGGAAGATAAACCATATTCCCCATTCCAGCTTTATGTTTAAAGGCTGTGAGTCTAAGCAGAGTGTTACAGTCGTAGGGTGTAAGTGTTGGTAATGAGGTGGCTGTTTGGGGAATTTAGGAAAGATGCTCCAGAACACTGTGGGGAGGTACTGAAGGGCTGTTGGCATTTCAGGTCACTCTCATTCATTTAGGCGACCATCTCTGTTAGTATCTTTGTTGGAAGAATACACAGAATTCAGGAGTAAGCACTAAACAACCATGTATTACAAAATAAACTGAATAGGCACAAATGCATACACACTTTGGCTTGTTTTGTTTATTAACCACAGTTTATTAGAAAATAAAGGATGAGGAAGTGGGCTAGAAAATGGTGAGGTAGATTTTAAAAAGCTGATTGAGAAAGAGGTGTTAAAGAGCTGAAGGAAGAAGAGTGATCACATAGGTGTGTCAATGCAGTGTGTGCTTAGCAGTGTTAATAGCAAGTGCAAAGGCCCTGAGGCTGGAGCACACCTGGCATGGTAGGGAACAGTGAGGAGCCCATTGCAGCAGGAGCACAGTGGGTACGAGGGAAAATAGATGTCAGAAGATTGAGAAGTGACAGGGCCAGGCCGTTTCTTTGGGTTGACTTTTACTTTGGAAATGTCATTTTTGTTGGAAACCATTCTGAAACTCCTGGCCTCCAGCATTGTTAGGATTTTCTAAAGGACTCTGTGATTTGTGTAAATTATTAGATTTTTTTTCTGTCTATACCTGCTGAGTCAAATGCTGGAGCTTGGAGTCAAATGTCTGACCAGCCTTAACACATTTATCAGAACTCGCTCATTGCTTTTATTTCCAGTTTTGTGGTCCTTTTCTTTTTTAAACAAAATGAAAATAGCTTTG